ACGATGGCAGTGAAGGGGCCGATTAGACCATCCCTGGGTGCGTGGATGAAGTGGTATTCCATGGCTCAGATTTTGCTTGTTTGCTGCTGCCGAATTCTCATTACTTGGCAATGATTATCGCTAGACCCCCTCAATGTGCCCTGGCGTTCTCGCCTCGGCTCTGGCTGCATTTTCGTTGAGACTGAAGCTCACGCTCAAGCGTTTCGGGGTTGCGCCCAAACTGGCCCCCGACAACAAGAACGCTTCCGCTCGATACTTCATTGCCGTTTAGTCAAGACTGGCGCTCTTGCTGGGCCCTCGTTCCTGCACTGGTTCAGCACACCAGCCCCCCCTATAACAGCGAGCAACGTTCCCGCTCAATCCGGCCTCATTTGTTACTCACGACTGGCGCTCTTGCTCGCCGACGAGAACTGGCGCCCCAAACAACAACCAGCGATCTCGCTGGATAGCCCGTCGCATGTCACTAAAGAGTGCCGCTCGCACTTTGGCGCCGCAAACTGGCTCCGTTCCCGCTCGATCCTACCTCACTTGTTACTCCCGACTGGCGCTCTTGCCCGCCGCCGAAAACCAGCCCCCATAACGACAACCAACGATCCCGCGTGATAGCCCGTCGCATGTTACTACAGAATGCCGCTTGCGCCTTGGCGCCGCAAACTGGCACCCCCCTCTGACAACGACGCCCCTGTTCGATACTTCATCACTTGCTACTCAAGATTGGCTCTCTTGCCCGTCCCCGAAAACCGGCACTCCAGGAAAACCAGCACTTTTGTTCGATACTTCCTTGCCTTTTACTCAGGCGTGGCGTTCCTGCTGACGCTCTTGCCCGCCGCCGAAAACCAGCCCGTGGCTGCGGGTCCCATCCAACGATCCAGCCATTGCAGGGGGTACAAGCCCTGGCTTCGGGCACCATGGATAGGGGAAACGGGCGGCGGGGGGTGAGGGCGAACAAAGAGCAAGGGGCAACGCACCGTGTCGTTGCAGCCTCTTGTGCTTTCAACACCTACAAAGGGATCCGTCATCAGGATTCCTTGAGCAGGAACACATAATCAGGAATTCTCAATGAGGAGTCATTCGTAGAACCCCCTACTTGGAAACCCTTGATGAGGAGTCCTTGTTGTGAGGACCCCTTGAAGAAGGAATCCTTACTGAGAGATCCTTACTGAGGACTTTTTGGTAGGGAATCATTGCTCCTGAATGTGCAAACTTCACCAGGGAGTTCTTACTAACATCTAAAACAAGGAGTTCTCAATGAGGACGCCTCAATGAGGAACCCTTGGTAATAAAACCCTTCGCGGGGCAACCTTGGGAGAGAATCCGTACTACAAAATCCTTGCACAAAAAATGCTGATGGGGGACCCGTATTACAGCATCCGTTACATGAAAACGTAATACCCGGAAGCGTTTCCAAATAGTCCTGTCGACAAAGAACTCATTGAACTCATTACTCGAGAACCCTTGCTCGGGAGTCCTTAGCACCGTAACCTTACCCATTAGAATATATACATCTATATATATATATATATATACATAGATCAGTCTTTACTGAGGAACGTGGCGAGGCATCCTCAATGAGGCGTCCAAAGAAGCGGGCCCTTGGTAAGGAATCCTCAGTGAGAAACCCTTAGTCAAGAATACGTATTGCGAAATCCGTGAAGAGGAATTCTTGGCAATGCGAAGGAACCCTGGATAATGAACACTTGCTACTGATTCACGATTAAGAAATCCTCGAGTGGGAACCCATAAGAAAGCATGTAATTACCATGGACCCTGGATACATGTGTTTCCCAAACCCTGGATACCCGCCCTTTTCGTGCTCGATCGTACACCCTTCGGGTTTGTGTATATATATGTGTATATATATATATGCGAAAGGGAGGGCGAGGAGGAGGGGAGTAGGGGAAGAGAGGCAGGAGGGAAGAGGGACATAGTGAAGGAAGGAAAAAGGGAAGACTGAAGACGACAGAAGGTGTAGACGGAGGACGACGTCCCTAAACAGGAAAACCCTTAAACGGGAGGGGGCCACTGAGGGCCGCAAAGGGGCCAGGAAGGGCCACGAGAGGGGCACGAAGAGCTACATCGGGGCCAAGAAGGCCAGCGTGGGGGACACGAAAGGCGACCGCGTGACCACGGTCTGCATCAATGGGCTAAAATAACGGGGCCATGGAAAGCATCGAAGAAGCTACGAAGGCAGCAGCGGGGTCTTCAAATCCGACTGCGGTATCGCAAGGGGCAGCGAGATGCATCGGAAAAGAACGGAGGGGCGACTGCGAGCCTTACCGGGCGGGTCAGGCGGGCGGACCCTGGCGGGCGGGTCGAGCGGGCGGGTCGCGAATACGTGAGTCCCGCATAATTCGCCAGGAAGTTCCGGGTGAGAGCGCGATTCTCAAGAAAACTATAAGGAAATCCTGAACGAGAGCGCAAATCCTGAATGGCGAGAGTGCGGCTCTTTACTAAATTGCGCGGAAATCTCAAACGAGAGCGCGATTCTTGAGTAAAGTGCGAGGCAGTCCAATGTGGGAGCGGGGGGGTCCAATAACTTGTAAGGAAGTCTCAAGTGGGTACCGTTGCCGCTGTAGTTCGGAAACCAGGGGCCCAGGTTGAGACTCACGACTTCCCCCGATAGGAAGCAAGGACCGAGCCCAGGGAAGGGGCACTTCAATTGGAAAAGCACAGTCGTTACCAGAGGGGGATCAACAATACTTATCGTTAGTCGTAAAAACTCAACACCACCAACAACAACAGCAGCAACAACAACAACAGCAACAGCAACAGCAGCAGAAACAACTACAACTACAACTACAACAACTTCCACAACAACAACTTCCACAACAACAGCAACACCAACAACAGCAACAACAACAACAACAACAGCAACAACAGCAGCAACAACAACCACAGCAACAACAACACTAGCAGCAGCAACAACAACAGCAAGAACACTACTCAGTTTAAGACTACTCGCTCTTACCTGCTCGCGTGCCACTTAACACGTCTATCCCTAACCCTCGGTACCCGCCCTTTCTCGTCTTCGACCAGACCCCCCTGGAGTAGATCTTCCTTACCTGCCGCGCGAAATGAGTGCAGCCCCTAAAACAGAAGAAGGGAGGACGCATGGAAGGGGGAGGGAGAAGGATGGAGAACGGGATTAGCAGGAGGCAGGCTACGAGCAGAAAGTACGTGGCAGAACCAGGCGAGCCCATCGGGCGGGTAGACCCTAGCAGGCAGGTCGGGAATGCGGGCCTAAGAGGCCAGGTCGAGCAGGCGGGCTGCTGAAGCGTGAATATTGCATTCATGGCGAGGAGAGCTCGAGAGATAGCGCCATGTCCACACAACAACATGGGAAAGGCCAAATCGAGAGCGAGATTCATGAGTGTCGAGGGCGCGGCGTCTGAAAACATTGCAAGGATGTCCTACGCGAGAGCGCGATTCCTGCAGAACTTGTGAGGGAGTGCACCTAGCGGCCTAGCGCAGCCCTCAAAACAGGGGAAGAGGGGACGGATGGAAGGAGGATGAAAAAGGATGGAGCACGAGAGATATTAGCAGGCATGGGCTCGGAACAGAAAACACGCGGCTGAACCATACGGACAGACCAGGCGGGCAGACCCCAGCGGGCGGGTCGGGTAGGCGGGCCCAAGCAGCCAGGTCGAGAAGGCGCGTTGATGAAGCATGCATAGTACATGAATCGTGAGGAAAGTTCGAGCGATAGCGCGATTCCCAATTGAATCGCAAGAAAGGCCAAAGCGCGAGCGTGATTCCTGCGTGTCGAGGGCGCGGCGTCTGAATAAATTGCGAAGGCGTCCCACGCGATTGTGCGACTCCTGCAGCACCTGTGCGGGGGGATCAACAATATTCATGTTTTCAACAATGAGAACTCAACAGCAGAAGCAGCAACAGCAACAACACCAACAACACCAATCAATGTAAGACTGTTCGTTCATATCTGCTCACGACCCCTTCAACACGGATATCCCTAACCCTCGGTACCCGCCTTCTCCGTGATCGATCGTATCCCTTTGGGGGTATATCTTCCGTAGCTGCCACGCGCATCTAGCGCAGCCTCCAAAACAGAAGCAGAAAGGACGGATGGAAGGGGGAGGGAGAAAGATGGAGCACGAGAGAAATTAGCAGGATGGGGGCTAGGAGCAGAAAATACACGGCAGAACCAGGCGAGCCCATCGGGCGGGTAGACCCTAGCGGGCAGGTCGGGAAGGCGGGCTCGGGCGGCCAGGTCGAGCAGGCGGGTTGCTGAAGCGTGAATATTGCATTCATCGCGAGGAGAGCTCGAGCGATAGCGCGATCCCCAAGTAAATCGTGAGCAGGGCCAGAGCGAGAGCGAGGTTCCTGAGTGTCGAGGGCGCGGCGTCGCAAAACATTGGGAGGAACTCCCACGCGAGAGCGCGATTCCTGCAGAACTTGTGCGGAAACCCCGCGCGCGAGCGCGATTTCGGAACCAACTGTAGGCAGCATCCGGCGGGGGCCGCTGTTGTCGTAGCGGGGGGGGGCCAGGAGCACGATCTCTGAGCACGCAGACTCCCCCCCCATAAAAAAACAGTGGGCGAGCCCCGAGAGGGGGCACTTCAATTGACAAACTGTCATGTGCACCGGCGGGGGGGTCCACAATACTTGTTCTTGGGCAGGGACTGACCGTCCCAGTATTCCTATAGGCCTACCACAAAAGGTCCTTGGAACCCCAAAATGTTCTAAGACCAGCAACAGGCAACAGTGTTCTCAGAACACATGCCCGATGTGCTAGAACAAGACAGTCCAAGCCAGAAGTGTTCTGAGAACATGTCGTGCAGACCACAGACAGGTTCCTAGAACATTCTGTGGTGGGCCTATAGGCAAGCCGGGACGCTTCGCCACTGCTAGATGTCTTCGGCGAGTGAGAGTTCCACAGACGGCGGACAGCCAGCGCCAGGCAGGCACCGACGGCAGGGGCACGGGCGAGCGAGCGCGAGGGCAGCCCGTTTCGCATGTGGGTTGGTTGCCGGGGCCACGGCCTTTCGGCGCCAGGCCGCCCCTTGGATCGGGGGTTGCTAAGAGGGTGCCCCTGGCCCAACGTGCCCCCAGCTTTGTCGCTCCACTCTGGAGCCCTGGGGGCCCCCTGGGCCTCGCGAGGCTCTGGAGGCCGTCGGGGCCTCCCTGGAAATCCTGGAGGCACCTTGGGCCAGGGGCACTTCTAGCAACACCCGATTGGAAGAAAAAACGCCGTAAACATAAACATTTGGCGCTCCGCGCGGAGTTCTTGGGTCTGCGCTGGACCCCCCTCCCTGGCGTGCGGAGCGCGCCAGGGGTGGCGCTGGAGGCGCCGCGGGGGGGGGGGCCAGCGCGGATCCAAGAAATCCGCGCGGAGCGCCAAACGTTTCTGTTTATGGCGTTATCTCTTCTTCGACCTTCGCGTTCTCCCTGCGGCCAGCCAGCTTCTCCCGAGCTTCCCGGCCGACGGCCTCCGCGGCGAGGGGCTTGTCCAGCTTCGTGTCGAAGCCGTCCAGCGCCTTGACCATGCTGGAGGCCTCGTCGGCGTCCCGGGCCTCGCAGATGGCCCACCGCGGCTGGCCGGGCTTGAGGCCGAAGAACTCCGCCTCTCCGGCTGGGTGCGCTTGAATCCGCCTCTCTGGCTGCTCCCGTCCGGCTTTACCAGCCTACATCCCAGGACCTCCTCGCGCGGTGAAGAAGACCACGACGGGAGGCTTTTCGCCGCTTCTGGCCTCGAGGGGGTCCTTCCTGGGCCTCGGGGCCGTCAAAAAACGAGTCAGGATAAAAAACCCGTCCCCGGGAATGGGTCCTGGGGGTCGACGTTGTGAAAAAAATCACAACGCCAGTGGTCTGGGATCGCCGCACCCGAAAAAAAAGTGGTCGCACCGAAGCTTCCTTACCTGGTAGGCCTGCGCCGGACCGAATCGCGAAATCGGATCCGATCGGAGGCGGGTCGGATCGCCTGCGAACCGCCCCGACGCAGGGCGAGAACGGAGCGCCGCGCCGGGCTCCAGCCGGCCCCGGCAGGTGCCGACGAGACGATCCGAGCCGAGGCCAATCGGAATCGGGGCACCAACTGGCGAATCCAGTCGCGCCGCATCGGATGGCAGGCGGCCCTGCCTGGGTCCCTCGTGCATTGCCACTGGGCGGTGGGACTGGCACACTCGGCTCCCGGCGGCTACTGGCAGAAGCCCGGCGCTGGGTCCACGAAGGACCCCACGGATGCTCCTGTCCGCGAACAGGTGGCACGAGTCTGCCGCCCGACGGGGACCCGCCCAGGACGGCCCTGCCCGACAGGCGATGGACTCCCACCCGATGCAGTGGAGGCGAGTCCACAAGAAACCTCCCACAAGCAACCCAACCCTGAGACCCCAGGACGTCCATTGATAATTGGTGTGGGAACGTCACGCTTCCCAGAGCAGAACCATCGAAACCCAAGAAACCCAGGGCACCCTGCAGGCAAGCAGGGTGTTTCTTGGCATGGGCCTCCACTGTACTGTCCCACCCGATGGCCAGTGCAAGATATATGTAAGGCATGCGGCCGGGACCGGTTGTCTAATAGCTCTCTTTTTCTCTCTCTCTCTCTCTCTCTCTTTCTCTTTTTTTTTTTTCTCTCTCTCTCTCTCTCTCTCTCTCTCTCCGAACATCAGAGTGCCCAACCCGTAGCTCGGCCTTGACCACGTCGACGTCCGCCCCGCACCTCTTGAACCACGAGTAGCCTCTGGCAGCCTCTGGCAGATTGCGGACAACGACGAACATGCTGTCACCGTTCCTGGATCCGTTCAGTCCCCTGTCGCGCTTCCCCGCATCCGCACCTCCAGCGTTCGCAGGAGACTCCTCCCCGTCGCCTCCCATGAGGCTGGACGAGAACACAAAATTGATGCTCTACGACTTGGGTCAGAACGGCTGCGAGTGTAGATCAACCTGTCACGCGCGCACGCCACCTGACTCCCCCTCCCCCCCGATGTTGATCTCTGGCGCCGTCTCTGGCCTCTAAGCGACTCTACGACATGGCTTCAAGACGCCTCAAGGCAATTTTCAAAGACGATCCGGAGAGTACCCCAAGGCTCACGATCTCCCAAAGACGTCACAAGTGGCCCTAAGAAGCCTCAAAGAGACGGCTAACGAGACATTCAGCACGGACATATACAATCTGAGGAAACTCCATGTCCCAAACCCTATCACGAAACTTGGCCTTCGAATTCAATCCGCAGAGCCGCGCGTCTCCTCACCTCCTCTTTTTCATCACCCATCCCTCACCCATCCCTCTTCATCATCATTCCTCATCCCTCCACCGTCTATTCCTGCCCCCCCCCCCCAAAAAAAAAGAAGAAGAAGAAGAAGACATCAAATATGCGTTGCAGGGCGATGACCCGATGCGAGTAGGAAGAGCAGAGGGAGGAGAAGCATCGCCAGCGGCGGCAGCGATAGCAACACTGGCAGCAGGAGCAGAGCAGACCAGGGAGCGGGGCCAGAATCGGGGCCAGCAGCAGGACCGGGGGCAGGAGCAAGTGCGCAGGACAGGAAACAAATACCTCCTCCTCCTCCTCCTCCTCCTCCTCCTCCTCCTCCTCCTCCTCCTCCTCCTCCTCCTCCCTCTCTCTCCTCCCTCTCTCTCCTCCCCCTCCTCCCTCCTCCTCCCTCCTCATCCTCCTCCTGCAGCCGAAGGGCAGCGGGAGGAGCGATATCCAAGTGGAAGCAACCAGCGTGAGCCGTCTCGACAAAGCAACCACATGGGGGGGGGCCTGCGGATGAACGTGGGCAGCACGCTGAGGCCTGTGAACGGCCACGCGGCGAGTGCCAGTCCGAAGAGGCCAATGTCCACCCAGTTGTCGGGGGGGTGGCCCAGGTAGGCGACGATGAGGGAGGTGACGACGACTGCCTGGGGACAAGGAGGGAGGGGTGGGAAAGGGAGGACGAGGAGGACGAGGAAGCGAAGGTGCGGGGACAACAAGGGTACCGACCTCGCTACTCCCGAGAACCCTCCAGGGGCGCATCCTGACCAGAATTTCGATGAGGATCCGGCTGTGACGTCGAGGGCTCTCCAGGACGAGCAGCGGTGTCGGTATCTGCTCCACCTCCGAGAAGGAGGAGGAGCGAAGCCCTGCATCCCCTGCGGGCGGCCAGCAGGAGAACGCCCATCCGTAGACCGCAGCAACGATGGACAGCAGGACCCGCGACCTCCCGGGCGACCACCAGGACATCGCAACACCGAGGGCCGGCACAAGCCGACGGCCAGTGGGCAGCCAGCAGGGCCTCTCGGGGTCGCCTGGAGACTTCTTGCCAGGTCCCGACCCCTGTTTCCAGGGCCCAATCCCGCCAACTAGAAAGGAGGCTGGACCTCCCTCCCGGGCCTGGAACCACGGCTAGAACATACACATATGTGTATACACGTGCACATACATGTGCATGTATATCTATATGTCTACATGTTATGTGTGTGCATCTGTATATGTATCCATAAACAGCTATACACACAAGACTGGCGCTTCGCGCCATGCACGTTGGCCATTCAATCTTGGTTTGTGGACGGGATGGGAACTGCTTGTTGCCGTTGTCGTCGTCGTCACAATCCGCCAACGTGCCTCTGGGCACGGAGTGGGCGTGTCGTCAGGTCCTTTGCCTAATCCCCTGAGCCTCAGCTCGTACTTCCGACGCTCCAAGACGTCCCAAGAGGTCCCCATGACCGCCACAAGACGGCCCTGGGGGCCCCCAAGAGGGCCCCAAGACGGCTCAAGAGGCGCCCAAGACGGCCCCAGAGGGCCCCAACACGGCCCCAAGATGGGTACAAGAGGGGGAACACGAACCGAAAATCCCATCCTTCCGCCCCAAGAGGCACCCAGGAGGCTCCAAACGGCCCCCGAGAAGCCCCCAAAGAGGCCCCCATGGGGTCCCCAGAGTCCCCCAAGAGGCCCCAAAAAGGTTCCAAAACAGCCTCCCAGAGGCTTCAAAACTGCCTCCAGGAGGCCCCCGAGAGGCCTCGATGAGATCCCAATGACCATCCAAGAGGCCTCAGACCCACAATCCAGGCACGGTGGCAAAATGGGCCGAACCGAAGGCCGTTCAGTATGTGGTTCCCCCTCCTTCCGTCATGTTTCCTCTTCCTCGTTCTCGCCTTCGCCTGCGAGCTCTTCCCCGTCCTCCTGGTTTTTGTTAGCGGAGGCTCCTCCTCGAAAAACCTCTTGGGGGCCTCGCGAAACCTCTTTACAAGCTTCTTGGGGGGCTTCTGAAGACATCCTGGGCGCCTTCGGGGGGACCTCTTAGGTCCTCCTCGGGAAGAACTGCTGCTGACCACGGCCTCCCTCAACGACCAGGTCACGATCTAAATCGTTCGGGAGGCGTCTTAGGGGCCATGTTGGACCTCCATGGGGCTCTTCCCGCCGTGTTGGGACCCTGCTGGGCTGTCTCGGGCCTCCCCTGAACGGTCTGCAAGCCCCTCTGGGTCGCCCTGGGAACATTTTTCCGGGGCCTCTTGGGTGGTCTCGGACGCACAGAAGACCGAAGGACCGAGCACTCAAGAACAAAAATGCAAAACCTCTATGGAGGCTCAAAATTTGCTGCGTTTGGAATGACTCTTGGGGGTCTTCTTCGGGCTGCCTCCCGGCGTCTGGTGGGGATTGGGGCCCACTTGTGGCTCTCGCGGGTCCGTTGGGCCACCCTCTGGACCGCTTCGGTCCAGCTGGCCAGGCCCGCTACAGGGATGCCCAGGAGGCTCGGAAGTCCCGGGGGGCCCTCTGCAAGGGCGTCCAGAAAGTCCCTGGGGCCAGGAATCCGTGATGCTCCAGCTTTGGGGAGGGGCCAGGTTTTTCCGGCCTTTCCGGGCTTTCCAGGTTTGAGATCTTTGATGGCCCAGGGGGCCAGGAAACGGTCCCCCCGGGCCAACAGAAGGCAAACTCAAAAAGATGAGGCAGACGTGGACGAGCACAGGCACTCGAACTCCTGGGCCAGGCACACGACTATAGGGACCGGTTCGACAACTTGTACTCCGAGGAATAGGGGTTCATGAGGGTGGCAGGGGGCGGTCGGGGCAAATATGCGGCCGTGAGCGGCGACGTTCCGATCACGATTCTGCGACAGGAGGGGGTCGTGAAGCTGGCGCTGAATGCATCGGCTGATTCTCCCCAACCATTGGAGGCCTGGAAATGAACACCAACACCAACACAGGGGGTTGCCTCCACAGGAGGAAGATGATCCTAGATTTCGGTGTTGGTGGTAATATTTCGATCACCTTGGAAGCCAGAATATTACCACCATCACCGAGACCAGGATCTTCTTCCCTCGATGGAGGCACACCGCCAATACTGGTGTTGGTGTCAATCTCTAAGCCTGCGAAACCACTGCAGGAGCATCATGGAGCAGACGCAGCGGCCCCAGGGTCAGCAGGTCTCTCGCTGTCATTCGTGTTACGCGGTTGGTTTAGAGCTCGAGGTCGATTAGCATGCTGGGCCTGCGCAGCTCTCTGGTCGAGCTGGCAGCGCGGGTGCGGAGAAACGACAGGCAGCCAGGCATAATTTGTACAAGGGGATCGTTTTTCTTAGACCGTGCTGTTGAATGTTGACTTGGAAGGGCCATCTGGAGGTAGCGCGCCGAAACAGGACTGACGGTAGCAGCCGGGGAGGAGTTATACTTTTCGCAGCTCGTGCAATCGTCGCCCAGGTGACGTGCATGAGCAAGTCCGCCGATGCGGAGAGGGTGTGGTGCGCTTTGCATACGGAGCGAGGGCCGTACTTGCTCGGAGCATGGTACAGACCTCCTGCACAAGAAACTGGCAGTATCACGAGTTGCGTTTTTTTTACTGTGCACCGCTGACGAACAGGCTCCAAGGGCAAGAGATTGCCTGGAACTGAAGGCCAGGGCAGAAAATTTACCCCACATCACAAGTTGCGCTGAGGAGCATGCTGCGTTGAGCGGGGGCTTCATGGGAACAGTATTGCTGGGTGATTCGAATGTTCATCACAAGTCTTGGTTACGATTTTCTGCACGTACGTCGCCGGAGGGAGAACCTTTACGACAGTCAACCGCTGGCATGGGACTGCGTCAAATTGTCCGTGCTCCAACTCGGGGCCCGCACTTACTCGATCTGGTGCTCACGGACATCGACGGCGCTGAAACGAAAGTGTTGCCGAAAGTCGCAGGCCATAGCGCTGTTGAACCTGTCTTGTCTATGCCGGTCCCTCGTGCACACGTGGTCCGAGGGGAGGCTTGGCAATTTTCGTGGCGCCGACTGGAGCAAGCTCAGCGCTCTGCTGGCGAGCGCGGACCGGAGCTTCGTATGCCGAGCTGGCCCGACGCCTGGCGATCGCCAGGTGGCCGAATGCATCTTGGCTTGCGCCAGGCAGTGCATCCAGACGGAATGGACTTTGAGCAGGGACCGACCGTCCCGGCATTCCTATAGCCCTACCACGAAATGTTCCTAGAACCCAAAAGTGCTCTAAGAACAAGAACAGTGTTCTTAGAACATCAACCCGATGTGATAAAACAAAGACAGTCCCAGCCAGACATGTTCTGAGAACATTTCGTGGAAACCACGAAAGGTTCTTAGAACATTGTTTGGTAGGCCTATAGGCGAGCCAGGACGCTTCGCCACTGCTGGAGGATTGCGGAGGTGAAGTCGACGCACCCATGGCTGAACGATAGGGTGATCGCAGCAGCGGACGCCGAGCGACGGGCGGAAGGGAGATCGCACGAGGCTGCCTTCGCAGAAACCTGTAGCAGCACAGTCGCTGAAGAGTACGGCCAGTGGTGCGGGAAGGTGAGGGACGAGGTGAATTCAATATGAAGAGGGGCTCCAAAGACTGGTGGAGGTTGGAGCGGCATGCCGAAAAGCACGCCCGAGCGCAATCCCGGCACTGAGTCAGCAAAGAGGGTGCCGAGAAGGTATTGAAGGCACTCCAAGAGGATGGCGCCACCGGCCCAGACCTGCTCCCGACGAGGCTCTTGAAAAGGTGCTCAGCGTCGCTTGCGCTACCCGTGTACCTGCTGGGTGTAGCGATGATGACCAGAGGGGTGTGGCCCACAAGCTGGGGCATCCACTGGGTTGTTGCCGTATATACGGAAAAGGCAGTGTTTGATCCCAAGAACTACTGGGGCGTGCACCTCATGTCACAGCTGGCCAAGGTCATCGAGAGATTTCTGCAACCAATATTCTGCCCTACATTCATGTCTGAATCCAGGATTGGCCGTGATCATTTTGCGCACAGTCGAGGCAGCGGCGCCCGGGACGCCTTGGCATTCCTTGTACTGTCTTGGCTAACAGCCTTCTGGGAAAAAGCGAAAGTGGCATTATACATGTCCGACGTGTCTGCTGCTTTCGACAGGGTCTTCGCTGGTAGATTAATCGGGAAATTGGCCGCGAGAGGGGCGCCGCCAGAAACTCTGCAGCTATTCAAATCGTGGTTTGGCACCCGGAGAGCCCAAGTTGTGGTAGAAGGCTGTAAGTCCACAGAGATGCTGCTGGACAATATGGCGTTACAGGGCAGAGTCTGGGGCCCGATGTTGTGGAATGTGTTCTACGCTGACGCTGCAGAGCCGATCAAAAAGTCTGGGTTTACTGTTTTTGCTGATGACCTCAACGCTTTCCGGGTGAACGGGGGAGCTGCCCGACAGGCCGCTATTCTCAGCGACATGGACACCTGCCAATATGAGCTACCTCAGTGGGGCAAGGCGAACCAAGTGACTTTTGACGCAAACAAGGAATCAAAACACATGTTGTACAGATCTAATCCGTACGGGGCATCGTTCGATTTATTGGGTGTGCGTTTTGATACGAAGCTTACCATGACCGACTCGGTGCCGCAGTTGGCGAAGGACTGCAGATGGAAGTTGAAGACGATTTTTGAGGCCTCGTAAATACAACACCGGCGCCCAGCTGGCCTTGCTGCA